GACCACTCAAGGTTTCCCCAATCTCACGTGGCCCTTTCCTACTTCCATGCATTGGCCCATTGTCCAGGCCTGGAAGAGCCACCCCTTCCCACTCATAATGAAAGTCTTCTCTTCCTGTAAGGCCCAACTCAGGTGCCACCCTGTCCCCTAGGCTTTATTGCTTCTGCTATCTGGGCTTCTTGTCTCCTGTCTCTGCCCTCTCTAGTCCAGCCTCCACACAACCGGCAAAATAATCCCCAAAGAGCAGGCCTGACTATGCCATTCACTCAAGACAATCAGTAGCTTGCCATTGTCCAAAGACTGAAGTACCAACTTAGTATGGCATTCAAGGCTGGCTCTACCCTAACTCTTCTGACTCTCTTCATATGCCTTGTCTTGACAATCTGCACTCCCTCTGGCTGCAGTGGGCTAAAGGCCATTCACCTCTCCTGCCCTTCGTTTCTCTGCCTCCGTGTTTTTGCTCCAAGTGGCCCTTAGATCTGAAATGAGCTCCTTCCGTAGATCCTCTTCCTTCCAGCCAGTTCCAGTAGTGCCAGCCACCTCCTTCTGAGGTGGTCTCTAATCCTCCAGCTGGCAGGGAGGTGCCCCTTCTGCCATTTTCCTCCGATACCCTGTCCTATCTCTCCTCAAAGGGCAGCTAGGTGGCACAGTAGACAGAGTGCCAGGCCTGGAGTCCGGAAGGCTCATTTTCCTGAATTCCAATCTGGCCTCAGACACTTACTAGCTGTGTAACCCTGGAAAAGTTGCTTAATCCTTGTTTGCCTCAGTTTCCTCATCTGTAAAATGGGGATAGGGTGGCCAGGTGGCTCAGTGGATGGAGTGCCAGGCCTGGAGTCAGGAAAACTCATCTTCCTGAGTTCCAATCTGGCCTCACACACTTCCTAGCTGTGTGACCGTGGGCAAGTCACTTCACCCTGTTTGCCTCACTTTCCTCATCTGCAAAATGAGCTAGAGAAGGAAATGGCAAACTACTCCATTATCTTTGCCAAGAAAACTCGAAATGGGATTACAGAGAGTTGGACACAGCTAAACAACAAGAAGTCTCTCCCTGGCCCCCTTCTCTCCCTACTTTGGACATTACTTATTCGTGGATGTGCTCCACAATCCCAACTCGATATACAGGCTTTGGAGTCAGAAGGCTTGGGTTTTCTCTCTGTCTCTGCTTTTTGCTGCTCTTATGGCTATGAGCCAATCTCTTCTCTCTGGTCTCAATTTCCCCCTCTCTAAATGAGGAGGTTGGATTAGGTCAGCTGGTCTAAACCTGGGGTCTATGAACTTTTTGTAAAAATATCTTGACAACTATTTCAATAGAATTAGTTTCCTTAGTAATCCTTGGTATTTCATTTTATGCCTTTAGAAATGTGATTCTAATAAGAGGTCCATAAGTTTTGCCAGACTGCCAAAGGAATTCAGGACACACACCAAAAAAAAAAAAAAAGAAGACTCTCTGGTCTAGTGACTTTCGAAGGTCTTTTCCTGGCCTTTGCCCAGGTTTCCTAGGCATCACTCCCACTGGCAGCCAGGCCCATTTTGGAGACACAGGACAAACTCACCAACCACAGGGGAAAGCCCCAAGAAGAGATCAAACATTCATTTGCCAATTTCAACAGGAAGAAAAAGAGAAAGTCCACAGCCCTCAATCCCTATTCTCCCAGGAGGCCTCTACTCTAGAGAAAAGGCTTAGAGGGGGCAGCTAGGTGGTGCAGTGGATAGAGCACCAGCCCTGGAGTCGGGAGGACCTGGGTTCAAATTCAGTCTCAGAGGAGACACTTGACACTTACTAGCTGTGTGACCCTGGGCAAGTCACTTAACCCCAATTGCCTCACAAAAAAAAAGGCTCAGAGATAATGGTAGCATGGCATTCAGAGCTAGTCTGAGAGGGAAAACTAAAGCCAAGAAGGGCAGTGACTTGAGCTGGGGCACACAGTTGGTCAGTGGCAGAAACAACATTCAGTCTCACAGCTTCAGATGACCCCCCTCCCTTCTGATGTTCAAGACAGCCTGGACATTTTTGCCAGATGTTATGGAAAAGAAGAACTGGTCTCCTGCAAGCTTAGGGGAGCCCCAAACTAAAGGCAGTTTTCATTGTAGCTGCACAAAGGAGAGCCGAGGGGCCGGGGACACCAAACACTCTGCCCTCTCCAGTCCTTTGAACGCCAAAGGTATAGTAACCACACCACAGATCCTTCCCATGAGCAAGAAATCCTGATGGAAGCAGTCCTAGTATTCAAGTCTTGAGACCTGTGGCCTAATTTGCCACTTGGCAGGGCTTTGGGAAGCAAGTCATGGCTGATCGCTAAGGCTTCGGCTTCTCCACAGGTAACACGAGTGGGTTAGAAACAAGATGATTTGAAAGGCATTTTTTGTTTGAAGCTGGCTCCGGGTTCTGGTTAGGTGACTCTAGAGGGCTTAAGGCCGAAGGCCAAATTGCTAATCATGTGTGGCATGGTAAAAGTCGAAAAATGAGGGCATAAATGCTTCCAGCCCCAAGAAGAGGCTCTATAATAACATCCTGGGGGTATATCAAGAGGCCAGTTTAAGCGGGAAGAACTCTTTCATGTGTATACGAAGGGGGGGGGGGGGACACGACAGGACGAAGCATCTGAGGCAGGTAGCAGAGTCCAGAGGGGTCAGAAGGAAGAAATCGCAAAATTGGGAGGGGCAAAGCCTTGGGGCTGGGACTCAGAAGAAACAGGTTTGTATGTGGGTGGAATCGAAGAGGGATGAAAGCCTTGAAAGGAAAAAGAAGAATAGGGATGGAGAAGAGAGAGAGGGGATAGAAGAGGAGGGAGGAGGAGAAGCAGAGGAGGAAGAAGAGAATGGAAGGAGGGAGGGAGGATTGAACTGGGGAGAGAGGATGGAGTGGGGCTGGAAGGAGGGGGACAGAAGGAGGATGGAAGGAGAGGGAAGAAGGGGGGGATAGAAATGTAGAGAGGAAGGAGTGGGAGAAGGGAAGAAGGGAGGAGGAGAGTGGAGAAGGGGAATGGGGGAAAAGGAGGAAGAGAGAAGAAAGGGGGAAGGAGAAAAAAGGAAGCCGGGGAAAGGGACTCAGAACATAAAAACAGGTACTATGAAAGCTAGAGGGGACCTTGGAACTTGAGCTACTGGCTTTGGAAAGCCCAGTTCTGCTAATTACTCTGTGTGACTTCGAAATAGTTACATTCCCTCTTTGGGGTCTCAATTTACTCAGCAGTAAAGTGAGAGGCTTGGACTCCGTCATCTCAAAAGTCCCTTCCAGCTGTAAGTTTACAATCTTCTGGCAACAGGAGCTTAGAGCTGGGGGTGGGGGAATCTTAGAGAGTAGAACAGAGAATGGCTGAGCTGGAAGAAATAGAACCGCAGAGCTGGGAGGAACATTTGACCAGAGAATGTCAGAACCAGAATAGAGCTTAAAACTTTTTGTATTTAACCTGGATGCCTGATTTAATTGGTGGAAGAAATTCCCAGTAACAATTCAGATAAGCAATGGTTTAGTCTCAGAGTTGTCTGGGGCTATGTAAGGTTAAGTGACTTGCTCAGGGTCACACCGTGTTTGAACCCAAGTTACTGGATTCCAAAGCAGCTTCTTTCTCCACTAAGCCTCGCTGGCTCTTAGAGAAGGGAGGAAATGAAGAACATAGAATGCAGAGGCTAGAAGGGACCAACTGGAAAAGGGATTTTAGAACATAGTGTTTTAGGGCTGGGAAAGATCTTAGAACATAGAACCTCTGAGCTGAGAAGTCGGGCAATGTCCGAAATGGAAAGGGGTTTAGAACGTGGAATACACGTAGAACATTAGAACTGGAGAGGATGTTAGATCACCGAATGTCAGAACTAGGAGAGGCCTTCGAATATAGAATGTAGAATGAAAGAACAAGGAAGGAGATTAGATGTAATCAAGAAATCAACCAACAGGCATTTCTTAAGACTATCTGCCAGGCAGGTGCTAGAAGTCGAAAAACAAAAATGAAATATTCCCTGCATTCTGGGAGCTTACGTTCGTTATGGGAAGACAACCCGTACATGCGGAAGGCTCTAAGAAGTAGCCATGAAGCCAGGGCAGCAGGGCGGATAAAGAGTTGCCGAAAAACGTGGGTTCAAGGGTGGACTCTGACCCACACGAGCTTAGCTGGACAAGGAGCCTGATTTCTCAGGCCATTCTAAAAGACTTCTATAACTGTGGCCAAGCTGCATTGGGAGAGGGTTTTTTTTTTTTTTGGCCTGCAGTTCTCAAAAAGCAATGAAAGTCCAGCCTGCTTGCAAAGAAATCAGCAAGGTAAGGGGCGGGAGGGAGGGGAGCCATGAGCAGTTAGGGAAGGCTTCAAGGGGGAGGTGGGTTTGGAGCTGAGCTTTGAAGGCCAGAAGGGATTCTGAGAGGCAGAAGTGAGGTGGGGGAGCATTCCAGGAATGAGGGCCAGCCTGCCTTGGAGAATGTAAAAACTGGAAGGGACCACGGGCTGTAATGAGCGTGAGCTGAGAGGGACTCCCAGCTGGAAGGGGACTGGAGAGCCCAGAATGGTCAGCCTGGGAGGACCACTGAGAAGAAAAAATTCCGGGCTGCGCGGGGCCTTCCAACCTGGACTGCCCGAGGTGGAGAGAAGCGGAGGTGAGGGGAAGAGAGAAAAGAAGAGAGAAGAGGAGAAGATCAAAGCGGATGTGGGAGCTGAGGGGGAGAGAGATGAGGAGGAAGGGGAGGTTAGGCGGCGGAGGGAGTGGAGTTGGAAGATGCCCGCGCCACGCGCCCCGGCCACCGTTGGAGCTGGAGAGTCACTGAGCGGCCACAACGCCCCTCGGGGAGCCACAAGTGATCAGTGGCCCAGGGCGGGCCGGCTGTGTGTTTGTGTGTGCGCATGCATGCATGCATCTCTCCTCTCTGTGTGTGTCTCTCTCAATCTCTGTGTATCTCTCTCGATCTCGGTGACTCTCTCCCTCCGTGCCCGCCCTGGCGGTCCCCAGGACGGCAGTGGGCGCGGAGAAGGGAGCGCAGGGCAGTGAACGAGAAGCCCTGGAGTTTCTCTCACCTGGGTCCCGCTGCTCTCGGACGGAGGGACTCCTTCTGTCTGTTCCGTGGGCTCGGCTCCTGGCTCCCCAACTTTGGGTTGGAACAGCGGAGTAGGAACTGACGTGTGCAGAGGAAGTCTAGCGGAGGGAGCCAGGTGTCTGGGCAGCTGGCCTCCTCCCGGCCCGCCCCGGAGCCGCCCGCTCCGCCCAGTCCCGGCCCCTCCCCTCCCTCCCCTCCTATCCCTCCCCAGCCCTGCTCCCCTGGGGCCCCTGGGGCGCCTCCCTCCTGTCCCGCCCGCCCTCTGTCCGGTCTAGTCCCCGCCACCTCCCCCGCCTGCGCCACGTCCTGGGGCCCGCGCCCGCTGGTTTCTTCCGTCCGTCCTTCTTCTGTCCGTCCTTTTCATTTTCCTTTGCCGTTGCCCTTTCCTGGCCCGGCACGCGGTGGCTACGGGCTGCTGGGCTCCAGTCACGCTCCCCAGAACGCGCTTCGTGGGGACCAGCTTTGGCTGCGCACTCCCGATGCCACAGCCCCCCTGGGAGTGAGAGTAGGGTCCCGGGACCCCAGGACCCCAGGACGTCAGCACTACACTCTTAAGACCCTTAGAACCTGGACCCGGGGAAGGACAAGAACCTGACCCAGCATCTGGTCCACTTCCTTCCCTTTACAGGAGAGGAAACTGAGGCCCGGAAAGGGAAGAGGATTCCCCAAACCTAAGTGTGCAGTGGCAGACCAATAGCCCACACTTAACACAGCCTTTCAGGTTCTCTGCGGCCTCCCCCCCAACTCGAGAGCAAGTACAGCCGGGACTGGACTGGGGGTAGCGGCCACTCTTGCAGTGGGCCCCTATAGCCTGGTCAGAAAGGCAACCCAAGAGGAGACTCCAAGTCCGAAGGGAGATTGAGGCCCCACATTCTGGGCAGGTCTTCTGCCAAACTGGACAGGATGAAAAAGAAGACAGCCAAGCTTCTGATGGGACTGGGAACCTTTGCCAACAGTTAACATTTACTGAGCGCCTGCTATATGTAGGGCAGAGGTGGGGGGGGCGGGGAGGAAGGAGTGCTACTGCTCAGGAATCAGGAAGAGCAAGGATTAAATCCAACCTCAGATACTTGATAGTTCTGTGGCTTTAGGCATATGACTTAAGCTCTGTGCCTCAGTTTTCCCATGTGCAAAATGCAGGAATCAGACTCAGTGGGCTAAGTCCTGTCTAGCTTTCTAAATCCGTGATCCCATGAGTGGTGAAGTTACTTACCACATGGGGAGTTTTCCATCCTAGTGAAATAACCAATTCTTCAAGTGTATAGGAGGCATTGTGCTCTGGGGCCACAAAGAGCAAACAGCTCTATGCCACATAAGTATTGCTTGAGAGAAATGAAGAAATTCTTAATTGATTAGAATTGTCTAAGAATGGCATCATCAGCCTCTACTAGTGAGCTCCTTGTCATTGGAGATATTCAAGAAGATCCTGGGTGGCCACTTGTTGGAATGTTATAGGTTGAACTGAAGGCCCTCTGAGGTCCCTTCCAACTGTGAGATTCTCTGATTCTGTTACTTTTTTCTCACCAAGCCTCAGTTTCCTCATCTGTAAAATGAAGGGTTAATGACCAAGGCCTCTACCTTCTATAAGCTGCCAGGCTCCAGACTGGGGTATAATCCTGTCTAGTCTCCAGCCCCTGCTTCTGCCCACTTGCCTATCAGAAATGGGACCAGGTCAGAGCCTTTCAGCTCCCAGCTGTATGACTTCCATGAATACCAATTCATCAATAAACATTTATTAAGCAAACATCTACTATGCCCACCCAAATGTGCTAAGCCCTGGGGATAAAAAGACAAGTCCCTGCCCTCAGGGAGCTCACTCAGTAGGAACTGCCTCCTCTAAGGCATTTGTCTCTGTCATTTCTTTAGTGTTCAATCCAAAAGACTTCTCTCACTCCTCATCCTTCTTGACTCCTATGCAGTGTCTGTTACTGTCGACCACCTCCTAGATCCTCTCCTGCCTGGGTTTTTATGATACTACTCTCTCCTGAGTTTCCTCCTCCTCCTCTTTCTTCTTCTTCTTCTTCTTCTTCTTCTTCTTCTTCTTCTTCTTCTTCTTCTTCTTCTTCTTCTTCTTCTTCTTCTTCTTCTCTTCTTCTTCTTCTTCTTCTTCTCTCTCTCTGTCTCTGTCTCTGTCTCCTCCCTGCCTCCTTCTCTGTCTGTGTCTCCTCTCTCTCTGTCTCTCTCTCTGTCTCTCTCTCTCTCTGTCTCTCTCTCTCTCTGTCTCTCTCTCTCCCTGCCTCTTTCTCTCTCTGTCTCTCTGTCTCTCTCCCTGCCTCCTTCTCTTCTGTCTGTCTTCTCTATCTCTCTGTCTCTCTCTGTCTCTGTCTCTCTCTCTCTCTGTCTCTCTCTCTCTCTCTCTCTCTCTCTCTCTCTGTCTCTCTCTCTCTCTCTCTCTCTCTCTCTGTGTCTCTCTGTCTCTCTGTCTCCCCCTACCCCTGTTGAGGGTACTGCCATCCTTGCAGTCTCCTAGGCATCATCCTTGGCTCATCACCTTCCATGGCCCCTCCCCCACATCCAGACTTGTCAGTTCTACCTACATAACATTTCTCCCATCAGACTCGACCCTTTTTCTTAACAACCCTCCTGGTTCTTACCCACATCCCCTCTCACTAAGACTATTGCAATAGTGTCCTAGTCAGTCTCCCTGCCTTGAGTCTTTCACTGCCCCAGCCCATCTTCCACGCACCTGCGATTTTTGTTGTTGTTCATCCTTAGTTCTCGAAGAGGACCAATGACGTCAGGAGGGGGATGTCTTGACTTACAAGGGAATTGGATTACAGTGAGGCAGGGTTGTGCAAAGTCACGAGCCTCACTCTCTCCTCCAGAGTCATTGGAGTCCAGTGGCAAGACATAGGTCAAGATGACTGCCGATGGCCCCACACCCAAAATAGTGATATTGCCAAAGCACTTATCCCACCATGTTGCTCCCCTTGTCAAGAAGTTCCAATGATTCCTAGGTAAAATGCCTCAATTCCTGCTTGGTGTTTCAAGTCTTCACATGATAGCGCCAGTCTACCTTTCCAGGCTGATTGTGTGTTCCACCTCATGGTCATCAGGAATACTGATCTAGCTGCTGTTCTTCAGACATGAGCCTCCATCCCTAGGCCTGGAATGTTCCCCCTCCTCATTGCTGCCTCCTGGCTCCCCTACTCCTTTCAAGTCCCTGCTTAAATCTTCCCTACTTCAAGAAGCCTATCCCAACTCCTCTAGCTACTAACTGTGATGACTTTGTTTTTAATTCATATGTATCTTAGATTGATTTATCTATAAACATGTTATATTCTTTCCTTCCCTCCCCTAGTTCTCCCCCTCCATGCAGGTGCTTAAAAATGCTTTCTGTTTGCTTATTTCATTAAATGATCTCTAAGGTACTTTTTTAGCTATAAATGTTATGATCCTATGAACTTTTAAGTTCTCCTTGAGACTTCTCTCAGCACCTGGGACCTTCAAACCTTGCAATATCCTTCCATCATGCTGGTCTCTTTCTCCATTTTGGGAGCAGACTCCCCAAAATCCCCTCCTCTCTATACATGTAAGTTCTAAGAACTTCACTACCGTTACTCAGCTTCCCTTTCGCCCTGAAGCTGGAGCCTTCTCACCCTTCTCCCATCTTTCCACCATGCTACCCCACTTCTCCCCTTGTCCCTTTGAGTGCCTTCATTTTGGGGATGGGCCAGACCAGCCATGCTCCATTCCCCTCCAAGCTGTGCTTCTAACTGGAAGGACTTTGCCAACATGGCCTCACCCAGGTAACCCCTTATTTTTCCCATGGCCCTTTTTAATATGTTGTTGAGGACAAGTGCTTTTTCCACCTTCTTTTTGTATCTTTGGCACTTAACATAGCATCTGGTACATTGTAAGTGCTTCATAAATGCTTGTCTGGTACATAGTAAGTGCTTAATAAATATTTGTTATCTACCTCCCTCTCAACCTATATTCTCCCTATTCATAATGAAATATTCAATGCTACCAGCTTTGACATTCTGTGTTCTAAAGATCTTTCCTGCTCCAACCTTCGATGAGTATATCATTCATCTTCATGAATCACTGGTCTAATCATAGTCACTCACTCCCCTTGGTCTCAAGAATGAAAGTCTGAAGACACAGAGAAAGACTGAACCCTGGAACTCACCTCCAGGCAGAGGCCATCCTTGTGGATTGGAGGGTAAATAAGTAGACCACCAGAAATGACTTCTTCTGGGCCCCAGGAGGCTGAGGCATTCTCCATTCTCCCTCTCTTACTAAGGAGCCCCCTCAGCTCTGTGTTCATCCTCTCTGACCAGTTCTATGGGGGTGGGGGACCAACCCTCTAGAGAGAGGGGTCAAGCTCCTTTTCTTGCACTCTTGGGCTCTGTATACCCAGCACATGTTTAGGGGGCATCTGGAACTGAATGAGGAACCCAAGACCTCCCAAGTTTGCCTCCAAGGCTGGCAGCATCCATTTCAGGATCAGTGTTCAGTCACTTATGATTAGAGAAACACAACAGAAGAGGTAGCCAGAGGCAGAGGCTCAAGCTTGCCTAGCCTAGTTCGTGTTCTAGCTGCCATGTATGGACAGTGGCCAGCCCAGAAGGTTAGTTACCTGCCACATGTCCTAAAGAGAGGAAGGAAGCAAAGAGCCCGAGAGTCACTTCTTTTCAAAGTCTAGTGATTGAGCAGGTCTTCCTGGTTTTGTGGCCATTCCTTTCTGACACAGATTTAAGACAACTCTCTTCTGCCCACCTTCCTTGGTGGTGGGGAGAGGTGGCAAAGGGACCCAGGATTTGCTTCCTTTTTATTGCTGAGGGCACCATCATCCTCCCAGTCACCCAGGTCTACAATGTTAAGTATACATCCTCTATTTTCTTCTCATCCCACCCCTGCCCTGTCCAATCTGTTGCCAAGGCTTGTTGATTTCACCTTTATAACACCTCTCAAATGTGCCCCCTTCTCTCCTCTGACATGGCCCCCACCCCGGAACAGGTCCTCATCACCTACCACCTGGACTATTGCAATAGCTGCTGGTGGGGCTGCCTGCTGCAAGGCTCTCCCCATACCAGTCCATCTTCCTGCACTCAGCTGCTAAAGTGATCTTCCTGAAGTAGAAGTCTTGCCATGTCACTCTCCTATTCGATAAACTCC